GCTTGCAAAAAAACCAATGTTTTTTTTTTGCTATTTTCAATATGCTTTTTCTATTGTTTACTCTTTTTTTCCTGTCTTAATCAAACCAACTTTTGCAAAAGATGCTATTTGGTTTTCCTGTGCCTTATACCTTTTTTTTTTTCATCTGCTTATTAAACCATTATTATTATTTTTTTTTTTGTCGGACGAGTTAATCACAAAAAATTTGTTTAAGGCATAACAACTGCTTAGAAGTTCCAATGAATCCAATGTTTAGTTGATCATGAATCTTCTTTTTTTGCTGTCACTCTGATTCATTGCATTTGTTTCCGTATACTGAAAAGAAGGAAAAAAAATTTTTTTTTTTTTACACAACATTTATGTTTTGCATAAATTCAGCTTTTTTCCTTTTTTTCACTTTGAACGTCGTCTTGTTGATAGATATATTAACAGCGGAACACAACCCAAATGATATTTCCTTCACTTATTTACTCATTGATTTTTTTTTTTTTTTTCTTACTGATTAGAGATTTTCTGATTAAGTTCAGTCACCGTCTCAGCATTTATGGAATGCTGCATACAGAGAATAGCTTCTTCAGTTTTTTTTTTTTTCTTCTTCTTTCTTCTTCACTTCAGGTGGAAATGAAAGGAAAAAAAAAAAAAAAAGGAATGTACCAGTTTTTATAATTATTGTTTGCTTGATGAATTTGAGCAATAATCATCATTGATAAATGAATATTACCAATGCTTTTGCCTCGTTTTTTTTTTTTTTTTATGTCCCATCTACCTTTTAAGAAATTCTAGTATAAGCCAAGACTATCATCATCCGGACAGTTTGTTTTATAATGGATTTGCCATTGCTGATGGTTCTGCAAAGCAATGAATGTACATTTTTGATTCTTATTAGACGGGGTATTTTTTTTTTTTTTGTTAATTATAAGATGTATTTGTGTGATGTTTATCCGTTGTCCAATTCAATGTGCGTTGTATTAATATCCATCAGCTAAAAGAAATTTTATCCTTCATAATTTATTTAGATAATGTGCTGCTTTTATAGAAGTAATAAGAATTTAACTCCAGTTTTCATTGACTGCACCCAAATAAATTGATACAAGTGAATGGAGCCAAATACAGGTGTATGAATCAATTATGCCAATATCAAATAGTGTAGGTGGGGTATTTAAACAGTTGTGGTACTTGTTACTGGAAAATTGCAGTACTCTGCAGTATCCATTTAGGTTAGTTACGCTGTGTTGGACTGTTGTATATTCAAGTTTTTTTTTCTTTTTGTCTGTTGAGGAACTAAGTGAGAAACAATTTTCTGCCGTTTATATTGGCCTTATGAAAGTTCCATCTCTAAAAGTTTAGCTTTTTAGTTTTTTTTTTTTTCTTTAGTTTTGTTTACACAACCACTGAACAGTCTCATCAATGGACGTCAACAGATTTGGATGCTGTGCGTCATCAGCATACTTGTTATTTTGCTCCTTTCTTTACGTACTTTCTGCAGTATCCACTAAACACATGTGATACACGTAAACAAAGCATTTAAAAAAAATCAGGACTGTCCTTCTCAAATCCATTCTAACTTTATTGGTTTTTCATAGATTGATATGTAAATTTGCTTATATATACTAGTGCTGGAATAGGTCCAATAAATATCAAACCACTTGATAAACGTGGACAACTTAGTTCATTTGGTGCTTAAATTAGTTAGTTGATATATTGAACATTAACGGCTTATTTACTGTAAAAATTTTGTTGAACAAATAGTTAAAGACGTACTGGATAACTAAATGAATACAGATGAACAGTCACCAAGACTTTATTGTTCGCTATACCCTACTGTATTACTGTTGTTGTTGTTGTCGTTGTCGTCGTCGTTGCTACTGCTATTGCTACCTCTCTGTTGTTATATTGTTGTTAATGGTGATGATGATTGCGATGGTGGTGGTGGTGGTGGTAGTGGTGGTGGTGGTGTTCTATTTTTTTTTATTCGTCGGCAGAATTTAAGTGACATCAAATGAAACCAAACTTTTAGAAGAAAATATGTGGAAACGAGAAAA